CCTCGGTCGGGGTGTGCAGGGCTGCTCTCTCACCAGAAGCACCAGCAGAGCCTCGGCAGGGCAGCACCCATCGAAACATGTGGGAAGCTGGGTGGAAAGAATTTCCATGAAATCCACCGACAACAGCATCAGGCCTTCCTGGAAAGCCCTTCTCTCTTACTGGCTCGCCATCATTTTTTAATGCAGATTTTGAGCTTTCTTTGGAGTCTAATTAAGGTCCTAATCAGTTTAAATGATGAAAAACTTTCCCAACACCAGCATATCAAACATGCAGAAGCGACAGTTCTGCTCCTGTCAAAGCGAGCCTGACTTGCCTTTGCTCGTGTGAGGGCACCATGCTGAGTAAAAAGGAAAAATCACGTTCTTCATCAGCACTTCACAGTGAAATTTAAGTTGTCAGTTCCTCCCGGGAAATCCTGATGCAACACCCAAACTGTCCCTGTGAACCAGAGCTTGGTGAATGTTTAATTACACCAAGAAACAAACACGGATTGCTGTGTGGGGGCTGTGAGGAGCCATCCGAGCTGCATGCTAAGCTTCTCTGTCCCAGAAGCAGTTTCTTCAATAGCATTTGCTTATCAAAAATAATTAGAGGTAGGAATGCTGGAACTGTGATTACGAAACAAATGGTAAATCTATTTGCTCATATGAAATGTATTGAAAGATACATCTAGACACAGCTGGAGACTGAGGTGATACCGCAAGGATAACAACTCGAGATCCAATTTCATCTTTCATGATTAAAAAATGAGCAAGAAAGTGTTTTATGAAATGTGAAGGTTAACAAATGTTCCTTCACAAGCAATGACGACAGTTTATCTTTTGAAACGAATGATCAGGCTACGGTCTGCTAGCAGCTCCTGAAATACATTTGCAAGATTTCTTCTGAGAACCCGCAGGGGCCCGGGGCACGCGGCCATCAGCCCTCCACCTCAGGCAAGGCCGGCTCCAAACTGGGGCCAGGGCCGCGGGGCGGGAGCGGGCCGCGCTCCATCCCAGCGCCCTGCCCCTCGCCCAGGGAAGTCCAGAAGCTCATCCCCGTCCCCAGCCCTGGCAGCGGCCGCAGCCCGGTGACACCTGCCCGCAGGAGGGGTGGCACAAGCTGGGTCCCCGCCCTGCAAATTAACAACCACTGCAGCTGAATTGCTAAAGCTGCCCAAAATATTGCAGGAGCCCTTTCGTTTTATAGGTAAGCGCCTATGCACTGCCGCCTCCGCAGCAATGAGGCGAGCGGGAGCCTGGTGCTGGGTGGGAGCCGTGGGCAGGAACAGGAGACTGAGCAAGGGGAGGGCAAAGCACATCTCACCGGGTAGCACAGCACGTATTCCTAAACGGCACAGTCAGCTCAGGCACATTCAGAGAAACATTGGTCTATAATGAGATTATGAAACACCAATTTTTGCCTCCTTGTCATCACACAGCAGTATTCCTTTTGGACTTCAGAGGTAAGAGATGCACATATTTACATTTATGAGTGTAGAATTAGTCTGGCTTTTAATTTTTCACATGATGCTTGACCTACTAAGTATCAGTGCAATATTCACCCTGTTCCTATCCAAAGGCATACAGAGGAAGTGGCCAACAACAAATTCCTTTGACTGTCCTCCAGATAAAGTACTCCCTTTATGGTGGAAATACCATGCGAAGTATGAAAACTTATTTTTAGGAATGAATTCTGCTAAAATTTGACTATTAGAACAAATGCTGTGAGTTGTTTAATGAGGAAAAAAAAGATGTGGATAGAGGCTCTAAAACTATTAAAGTGAAGGAATTACATAGTGGTGGGAATGGGTAATTCTTGAAGAAGGAAAATTCAAATTACCAGGAGTGATCAGACAGCAGAGAGGATGGTGATGACAACTTTAGTTCCTTCTATTAATAGAACTAATATTTAAAACTGAGAGGGAAAAAAAATATGTGTGGAAGGCAACAGGAGTTGTTTTAAAGTTAAAAAATTACTTTATACTTCCATAAAATATAGGACTGCATAGCAATGCCCTTATTCCTATCCTAGGACCCTGAAAGGGTTCCTTAGCATCAGGAGAACAGAACACAGGAATTCAGCAGAACCCTCAAAAAAACAGTATAAAGCTAAATTTACTTATCAGCAAGAACACAAAACATCATAGCTGTTAAGCTGGCTAAACAGCTGAACACTAGTTAACAACTGTGTTACAGAATGGGTGTTATTCCTTCCCACCCAAGTCTTCATCAGATTTCCTGGGATATGACAATTATTTTGTTCTTCCCAACAGAGAAAGCAAGTAAGAAATATTTCTGGTTGTCAAAGGTGCTAGAATGGACTAAATTCACACAGGGGAAAAATATTTAAAGGCCATATAAGCCTTCCCTCCGCCATTTAACCGTGCTGCACGAATAGCAACAGACAACTTGGTGTGCTGGGGATTATTCTAACCCAACAAATGGAGGCAGAGGGGCTACGAGACCCCTTTCAGGCACAGAACAAGTTTGTTTCAGAGACCATGCTTAACTGCTGCTGTGATAGAAGCTGCATGGACATGGTCAAACACCCACCCCAACTGTTGCCCTTCTGTGTTTCATGTCATGAATTGCTCTCTCTTCTCAGAGGTGGGACATGGGCCATTTTCTGGGGTCTGCAACTCCTGGCTTCTTTCCTATCTCTAGAACAGGCTTCTGGTGTACCCCAGAAAGTTGTGCCATCTGGGGTCAGTGAGAAGATCCCAGATGCAGCTTTTCCACCTCAAAGCAGCAGTCTCAGAGTAAACCAAGAAAGAAATGCTCTACAAGTGCAGTGATAAAAAGGTAAGTTTAACAGCATCAATACTGCTCTCCTTCAGCACTTTAACGTGCCTGATTTGATGCTGCACATTATTTTTGTTATGAAACTAGAACAAACCAAAATCAGTATGGTGCTCATTAAATGGACAAAACATGGGGTGGCTCACAGGTCTCAGAAAGCAAATCTAAATGGGAATCATCACCTAGTTGACTATTTCTAGTAGGGTTCTGTAACACATAGAACAATGCTGAATATTTATCTTCCAGGTCAGACTAAAAAAAAACACAAAACCAAAACAAACACAGCACTGTATATCAAATGCACAAATGACAAAGTCTACAGAAGTGATAAATAATGAAGAGGAGGATGACTGATGAAGAGACCTGGATTGCTTGGCAAGCTGGGTGCAAACAGGATAAAGAAAAGATGAAGTATAAAGAAACATTCCAGTAACTAATGCAGCCTATGTTTTCTGGAAAGAAGACTATTCCTAGAAGAAGCTCTCCTGAGAGGTTTTGGGGATCCTTATGCTTACTACCTAGCAGGACCCAACTGTGATACTATGATGAAGAGAAATTATACAGTCCTCAACAAGGGGAGATCAAGACCTGTTATGTTCTTTGTTGACACAGAATTATGTCCACAACACAGAAAAGAGTACAGCTGAACTGAGAGTCAGTGAAGAACCAAAATGCTAATTTGGGTTTAGAAATCTGTGTGTTAAAGAAGCTTCTGGAGCTCAGTTTTTTCAGTTTAGCACAGACAGGGTTAAGGATACTTCCAGAGCAAGTGATTTGTAGCATTAGCAAATACTCAGACTTAAGCAAGGTACAAAAAATATTTCATGATAGTGCTGATAGTCAACTCTTTCCTCCCCACACCCTCCCCACCTTTCCAAAGGCTGCTTATCCTGTCTTTTCCCCTTCAGATGCGTTCCACCCTTACCCAAGTGAGTCCTCCTCACTTACTTTTTGAGGACACATCCCACCTAACCCAGTGTGGACCTGTGACTTCTGCCTGTGTGACTGAATCTTAGCTGAGACATTTCATGTGTGCCCTGGAGAGTTTCAGCTCAAACAGGAGCAAAAATCCTCATGTGGACAGGATGCTCTTGTGCACTGTCTGACTGGAAGGCAAGGTGACAGCTCCCATATGGCAGTTAGTAAACTTATTTCTTCTATTTGGCTCAGTGCTTAATCTCTCATCTTTACAAAGAGAAACTTCTTTGTTCAAGTTTACTAAGAAAATACTTCCTAAAGATTTTCAGGAATATGTTTTACATTGAAACACATGAAGCATCTGATCGTTGAGACTGATCTAGCCAGCCTCTGGACACCACAAGGTTAGATAGCATTTTACCTCCCTATCTTAAAACAGCATGTTGTTTTTGTTCTGCTTCATGTGTGTTTGCTGGTTGAGGTTGCATAGGAAATGCTATCAGTGCTTTGGGGAAAAAAAAAAACAACACACACATGTCAGCTAGAGATCAAGTACATTCTTTCAAAGGAAAAACAAAGCAAAACTTGAAGTGTTTTACAGTGTGACCCTCATAAGAATGTTTGGATTAGGCCTGCTGTCTTACTAAAATGAATTTGTGTTTATATAAAGTATTTTGTACAAAACCCGCATACACACCAGGCAAAAAATCCCATGTGTTGTTATGCATTGCAGACACACACTGACAGGGTAGTTCTAATTCAGTTAGTGATGGTCTCTGCAGACTTCTTCATGAAGAAAAATTTTTTTAAGTTGATATGTAGTTTTGTAGTGTTTTGCTCTGTTTACTTAGGGAAGAGACAAGAGCCCCTTGGGAGGAACCTTACTCAGTAGAAGTCTATCTAAAAGCTATCACTGAAAAAGAAAAGGTAAAGGCTTGGTCAGATCTCAGTCAATATGCAGGAATATAACATCAAAGATATTCTAGAAGAATTAACACTCTTTTCCTAATCTTCTCAGCAAGCACTGTTTGTTTTTGTTCTTGTTGGTTCATAATAAAGCATTAAGTCATGCCCTCCTCCTTCTACCTTGACCTAAAAATAGGATTCCACCTCCCTGACTACAAAATACGTTAAGTGCAAATAAAAAGCCATGCTTAGACAGAGGAAGAAACTCCAACCTCTTCTGGGCAGGGCTGACCATGCACAAGTACATGTTTTCATAGCAGAGGTTTAGAAAGACAAACAGCTAGCAGCACACTGAGAGGCTTTGGGAAGAGCCCACAGTACGTTCCTCTATTTACCTCAGGTAATCTCTGCGGCAAAGAATGAGATTTGCTTTTGTGTAAAGAGTTGATCCAACCTCTCCAAGACGACAGTCACAGCAGGCACACTTTAGACAGTCTTCATGCCAATACTTATCCAGAGCCTTCAGCAGGTACCGGTCCTTGATCTTCCGGTTGCAGCCAGCACAGCCCTTCTGCTTCCCCTTGGGTTGTACAGATAGCATCGGCACACCTGCAATGCAAACACAGCATTTCATTTAGAAGATATCCTAACAGCTTGAAGAGCTTGCCTGCATTTGGGGTAGCACTGTGAGCTGTAGGTAGATCTGTGAGCAAATACTGCTGCTGGTTTTGTTACAAGGAGTTCACGTTGCAAGAAGCTGACAGTCAAAGGAATTTAAACTTCATTTGCTGTCCTGGGTTAAGTAGGAGTGTGACACTTGCAAGAACGCAGCCCTTTTTTCCTAAGGGTAGGGCTGACAAAGCACCAGGCTTTTTTTAATTAACATCTTGCAGCAGAATAAACTGGCTACAATTTCAACATTTGCTTTTTCCTTCATTACCAGTACCCTTGTGTTGTTAATTACCTGCCACAGGCAATTAAGAAGATCAGAAGGGCCACCACCGTATGTACCCCCAGTCCAACATCTTGGCTGGATCAAGCTTGATGGAGAAAGGAGAGGAGTGGATATAAAAAGATGTGGTATGCCACTGGTTTTCCTCTTGTGAACCCCACTGGCCACAGAGACCTCAGTGAAAGCTACAGCATCTCAGGTGCTGCTCTAAACTAAATGTTATTCAAAAGCCCTTGAGGACTGCTGAGAATAACCCAGCCAGTGCCCCTCTACCACTAGTGAAGCCACGCTCCTTAAACAAAGCAGAGCTTTCCTTCTCCTCTTGTACTGCTGGGGAAGGTAGTAAAAAGCCAGGAGTTTTTTCCTCCCTAGAAACCCCTGTGGGGACTGCAAAGCAAGAATGAACTAGCTGGGTATGAGATGGTGACAGGACACTCAAGTTGCTGGGCTGGTGGAGACTTGCTGTGGCCACCTTCCTCACACTGATGTCTCCAGCTTCTTCCTCTCCCCCAAGCAGCTACTGCTTCTCATGGTGAGGCCGGCCGCGGGTGTGAAACCTGTTGCCTTTCTCAGTTTAAGAGGGAGGCAGGAGAGGATTTTATGGAATCAACAGGCAAGGTGGAAAAGTAAACAAGGATTACACTGTGGGAGAGGAAGGGGACAGGAGATGATGAAAGAAGAAGTGAACTCATGAGATGCCAAAATCCCATTTTCTCTAGAGTCTTGATTTTACTTTGTTACTGGTTTTTATTTGTACTTGTGTCAATCACTAAAAATGGCAATGCTGGGCCTGTAACAAGCATGTCATGGGCTTAACCAATGCAGAGATGATGAGAGGGGCCAGTCTGGCTACGGTAGTGGGTGTCACTGGTTACATACTCTTACACCAAGTTAAGTCACCATTTCTGTAGGAAGTACTGGATGTTCCAGAAAGTAGCAACTTGAGAATGGAATTATTAACAGTCCCTTAACCAGAGAGGACCGAGTCAGCACCACTGTAATAAGTGACATTTGCTGCTTTCCTTAAAAGCCAGGGTGACCTGATGGTGGCTAATGGTCAGCACATGTAAAACCCACCACTCCTACAGTAATAATTGCTTTGTCAGAGCTGCAAGCAGACGACAATAGCACTTAAGACACCTCTACACAAACAGCGAGGTATTGATCCATTTGTTATCAAAGTGGTTTCAGCAGCACGGAGACAGGTCAAGTAACATTCAAAAACCCTTAGGGCTTAAAGAGCCCTCCTACTATTTGCTATGGCATACTCTAAACCCACCTGCAGAGTCAATACAAGCAAACTTTTGACACCAGTGACAAATAGGCAATAATTAAGTGAAAACTTAAATCTGCGTTTCACTGCCACATACACAACCCATAATGCTCTTGAGAGAAATTCTATATACACAGCCACAGAGAAACACCAGCACGTTTGGAAAGGGGGAAAAGGCAGGGAAGGGTCAGAAGTGTGATATTCTGCAGGTGCTAGGGGTCAGGCTGCAGAGGTCCTGTGCTCCTGGTGAGAGTTTCTTATGAGAACGAGGGAAGTGGCCCCATGGTTCTGGACACAGCACTTTTTTTTTTTTTTTTAATTGGCAGAATACATTTTAGGAGCAAAGAGAAGCTTCACTTTTTGAGTGATTTCTGTTTCAGAAAACTTAAAGCCTTCACGCCATGCTCTCTTCAACTCCATGCCATGAAAACAGCACATTGTGAGAAGAGACTTCCTTATTCTGAGGCACAGAAGGGTACATACATGAATTTGCATTTGCAAACTGTGTAAGATCAGTACCAGTGATGAAAGTAAATAGTTTGCACCCATGAAAACTAAGACCTAGATGTGCAAATGATATTTTAAGTTAGGAGCGCCAGACACCAGTGAGTCATTACCCACCCCCCTAAATGTGAGCTGCATACCCTTAGAAGCCGAAGAGGATTTTTACAAGGGGGGTCATCATATGATTCTGTTGCAAGGTTCAGCTAGGTAACTTGAGGATCCTGTGTCTGGAGGTGCTGCAGATTTCAAAATGCAGATTCTAGATAACCAGAGCGCCTTAAACCCCCTCACAAGAGAACTGCTGCTTGGGTGGGGTTTGAGATCATCTTTGCGATTCAGACCTTCAGCCAGATGGGATTTCCCAAGGCCCTCGAGTCCCGAAACCAATGCCCCTTCAGCGTTACAGCTGCCCTGGCCCAGAGCGAGGGGTCCACTGTAACAGCAGCATGGTCAAGCGCAAGGGCAGCTGTGCAGGGATGAAACCCTGGCTGGAGCATCAGCAAGGGCAGGCTGGCAGGTGAGGAGGGTCTCCCGGGGTGGCCAGAAGGCCCGGGCGGCTGTGGGCTGGCTGTGGTGGTGGTTCTTGTTCCATCTGTGGCCCTGGCAGCCCTTGCTCACCGTGGCCATCTCAGTTCCCCACTACTGCAAGCACACCATTGTCTTATGAGAGGCTTCTGCGAATAAGAGGAACGTAACACTTTGATTTCCTTCTAATAACTAGCAAAGGAACATATATATATTTTTTTAAACAGTACCTTAAGCAAGGAAAAAAGCTATGTATTTGGTCAGTGTTCAGCAGGGGGCTTTCTAATGAAAAAAGGTACCATTTCAGAGATCATATGATGTTCAAAGCTGCTATTCCCACTCAGATAATAACGAGCAAGGTCAGCCTCTGCTGGTCAGGTTCAGTGTTTTGAAATTACATTTTGGTCTGCGAGGCTTCCCTCCGACATTCCAACCAACCGGTCTGCGCAGAGCACACACGCCACTACAGAAAGTTGCAGCTGCAATTAGCTGGTGAGTTGACACAGAAGGCAAGGTGTGAAACAAAATTTCAAAAACTGCCAAACTTGATCAGCAAGGGTTCCTCCAATGCTTGCCATGTCATTTCCAAGCAACAAGAGAGCAGCATCTCGAAAACTTAACCCCTTTCACAGCCAGAGACTTGCGGAGAGCGGACACAGACAACACCAAACCCCACTTTCCTCCTCCTGTCTCCCTTCCAGCAAACCCCAAACAGTCTGGGCTTTGCATGCAGAAAACACCCGGAGAGCTGCTCTTTCTTTTTGGAAATTTCCCAACTGTGAGACTGTGATGCTGCTTCATTTCTCTACGTAGATTTTTCCCCAGTACTTACCAAAAAGTGACAAGATATCTAATTCAATTTGATCGGGGGTATGTGGTGTCTAACCAGGGCTGTCAAGAAACAAAAGGATCACCTTTGACAAATTCCATGTGTGCTCTGTGGGCGAGGATTAAAAAATGAGAAGTAGTGTTGCAGAAGTAGAAAAATTAACAGTTGGACACTCACCTGTTTAAATATGTGATCACAAAAGGAATGCTGACCAATTATCAAATTCTGAAAGTACCATCAAGTTGCTCTCTCCTCTCCTGTTGCTAGCCATCCATTGCTAACTTTTCTTAGAAACAGTAGATGAAGCCTTTCTATTTTTGGCTACCTACACTCCCTTCTTTGCCCTTTACAGCTTAATAGACTTGCTGCTGGTAAATACAAAACAAAACCTGTTCTGAGTGCTCGGAGCTCCAATGCACATTAAAAAATTATAGACACCACCTCTGGACATACTGAAATTTATGGCTGTGTCTAAAGAAGCTGTTATTGTAGAGAGTAATCTAAACTTTACCTCTATTCACAGTCAGACAAACCAGCTTTAATCAGCCCATATCTTCTCAGTCAGGGTCTTTCTGTAAAATTATTCATCTGGCTTTGTAACACAAGCGTCCACTAAGTACACCTCTAAATTTTTCTAAGCCTTTTTACTGATATTTCTATTCACATAGCAATCAGCTGCAGTTCCTCTAAGGGCACTGTTCATAAAGCCTTGTTTCCAAGAGAGCCTGGGAACTTTTTATAAATGGTAGACCTTTTAAATAACAGTTATCTGCAATGGTCCTATGGCGTATGGCTCCACGGTGCTCTGGTCTGCAAGGGAGCTACTCGTCCCCTCTGAAAGCATGGAAGTTCACCACCTAATTTCTTTAATGCAACTCTAAAGGTTAATTGGTCTGAAAGAGTAACGCGGGACTGTTAGCTAATGATATATGCCTCAAGGCTTCGCAGCTTGCCTATATTTTATACAGTCAAGTCCAGAGCATAAAACACAGGTGATATCACCACGACTTTTCAGACCCCCCTCCAACTTCCCGCAGCCCCCCTCGGCCTCCCACTCTCCCACCCGAGCCCTCCGCTGCACCCACATGTGCGGAGCGAAAGCGGCAGGAGCTGAAGGCGGTTCTCCTCCACCTGCATTTCATGCCTTGTTAGAGGGGGCTCCGAGAAGTGCCGCCACTGCGCTCCTCATTACCACCGCAGAGAGCTAAAACCAGCCCTAATGAGCACCAGAGCGTACAGTATGGGCTGGGAGGAGGGACATCCTCCCACACTCCCCAAGGAATCTGGCCAAAATCTTCAATTTGCCATTTATGACAGCTAATTAGTTATTCTATTCAAAATCTTTGCTTTAAATAAAAGAACTAATTATACACAAAGGTCAGTCCCCCACCTCCTGTGAAGCACACATAATTGGCTTATTTCCCCAACATTGTGTGTATGTTTTACACAATGCTTTCAGGCAGATGGCTTTAACTCTTTCCCTCTGCAAGTTTCTTGGTGTGGTTTTTTTTTGGTTTGGTTTGGTT